TATTGATACTATATTCTTTTCAATGAATCACCCTCAAAAGATTCAACACTATTTATGTTAGAGAGAATTTATAGAAAAATTATATTAATAGATTATTTTTTTTGCTAGATTTTTCAAAGGGATTAATAAAACCAAAATCATGGATCTAAAGATGAGAAAGAACAAATAGGTGAGCCACCCTCCTTTTGGCATAGCAATGTCTATATGTGGATAGAAATAATTAGAGAATAAAAATTCTATTCTCACAAATTAAAATTGAGTATCTCAAAGAAGGATATTGTACCATTGGAGAGATTATATTGTGGGACTCATAAATGTTGGATTGTAAAAGTAGAGCAACCTTTTATTTTGTGTCACCAAACACAAAATGAGTTATTTGTACGGTACACTTGAGAAATTTTGTTGAGGTTCTTAATTTGATTAAAAAAAAAAAATTGAGATGGTTAAGGTAATAATAAAATTATGATATGATATTGTAGAGAAATGTGAAAATTGTAAATTGTTAAGAGATTTGAATGTATTTCTAGTTTTTAAAATTTGTATTAGTATATTTGTGTTGAAAAATTCTAACATTAGATTGAACTTTCATTAGTTTTTAATTTCTATAAGTTTGATGCTTGTGTAATTAAGATTAATGAAGAGTAATATAAATTAGATTTAAACATTTTTTATCTTATATAATAATCGAGTTTTGATTTTGGTTTTTATAGTTTTGTTTATCCTTCTAAAATTAAAAACAAAAAATTATCCTTATAAAAATTAAGGAGTTTGAATTTTTAGTTATTGTAAAAAAAAAATAAACTCTTTTTATTTTAAGTTTAAAAATACATTTTTATTCATAACATTCATTTTTAAGATAAAAAATTAATATTTATTTTAAAAGTTGAAAAATAATAGAAATATCACGTGTTAAAATTTTTGTCAAATATACACGTATAATAAAATGATTATTTGACCTTTTTTTTATTTAATACAAACAAACAGTTAAGGAAAGTCATTAAAGATAAAAAATAGTGATTTCTAATTACAGAAAAGATGAAAAATATTTATTTATAAAGATGACGTTTAAAATTAACTTAATTATTCGAGACTATAAAATATATTATATTATAAATTATTATGCGTAATAAATGCAATAATAGATGCAATAACTCATCTAATAATATGAATTACATTTTGAGACATCAAGAACTAATTTTTCATTGGAGCAGTATTATTAGAAATAATTTTTTTATGACAATTAAAAAAGATTATAATAATTTATAGGACATTAAAAATTAATAAATTAATGATAATTTTGAATCATCATTATAAATCACCCATTCACCATAAAAAGACAGTTATACGTTATATATTAAAAATCCAATTTTATTTCGTCGTAACAAACCTAAAACTTCCATGACAACAAATAAATAAATAATAACAATCCTATGAACTCCATCCAATAATATGAACCTCATTTTAGCATTAACAATTAATTGTTTGTGGGACCATTATGAAAATAATTTTTGGATAATAAATTCTTAACCAAAAATATTATATAATTAAACAAGCAAAGTGCACATGAAAAGGGGTTGGATCCTTGAAAAATTATTGTCCTTCATTCAATTAGCAATATCATAGAAAGAAAAAAACATTAAAAAACTGCAGAAGATAAGATACACTTGAAGAATTTCTGAATGAAAAAGAAAGAAGGGGTTATATTGAGTAATCTTTTTTGATAGATAGAAGTATCAATTTATGATATGGTTGATATATATCTTAGGTTAAGGTAGCCATTTAATGCAAGTAATCTTCGAATTAATAAGAAAAAAGTCAAAGAGTATGAATCTTTGAAGATAAAAAGGGTGGTATCTTACAAGTTGAGATATTGAATGTTGTGGATGAAAAATTCCACACACTTGGATCCAATCTGAAACAAAACTGAACTTCATATATATATAATAACTTTGAATGTTCAAATTGTTTTTATTAGGTCAAAGGGCTATTTATAAAAAATTTGAATTATTCAGCTCACCTTAGTCGTCACAAGAGGTTTAACATATTTAATGGTTATTTATATAAACAATCTCAGAGTTGTTTCAAGGGCTTGCTCTCTCAACTAAGATTGTGACTCACTCACTCACATTAGTAAGAGGAATAGCGTTCTTGATGGTTGGTTTCTGAGAGAAACAAAACCATTGCAGATTGAGATAAGTGTAATGTAACTCATGGATCCAATATTAATGAGAAGGAGATGTGGCACTAAATAAATAACATGTGGTTGTGTCTGGCAGAAGTAGCAACAAGGGACCAAAAGCTTGCGGCGAAAACGATACATTTTTCCAAAGGGTTTTCTCTAACTGTGATTTCATTCTCTAATTCAACGTTTTTGGCAATGATAATGGTCCAAACCTATTCATCACTTAGTACCTGTCTGCATCTGCATCATGCTTGTGACTACACATTGGACCACACTTCTGAAATGCATACCTACAAAAATCCACACAGCCAAACACATAGTCTTCCTAGTGATCCCACTTTGCTCCTCGCTACCAAGTTTCCTCTGTTACATTAGGGCCATTAATTAACACACACTCTTCTTCTCAGTTCCCATTTTTTCACTTCTTTTCAAGCTTCATTCAACACTTCATCATCTCTGTTAATTACATCAGATGCAATGTTCAGACATGATTTCTCCTCTCAAACAATGCAATCTTCCACTGTAATCTCTTTCTAAATTCAACTAATAAGCTGTTTAATATATATATATATATATATATACATATATTATATTTATAATAATATTATAATTTTCACCTTATTAAATCAAATTTTATAAAATTAAATTTTATTTTTCTTTATTTTTAAAATAATATAAAAGTCAACTTTAATAATATTATTAAAATATTATTCATTAACGATTATAAAATAAATTATCCATTATTTAAAAAAATAAAAAGATTTTATTATAACAAAAGTTTGTACGAAAATAATTTAACAAGTATTTTAAAATAATTTGCAAGAATATTCATCAATTCAAATCTTTACACACTTTCATGTTCAATTTTATTTTCTTTTGTTACTAAATAAATAATGTTATACCTTCCTGTTATGTTTTTTTTATTAATTGATTTAATATTGTATAAAGAAAATATTAATGACATATAAAATTATGTATATTTTTAAAAGATAAAAAAAATGAATACCTTCTATCTAATAAGGTAGGTAAAAAGATCTTGTACAGAAGTTTAAAGCTAATCTAGAAATCTAATATAGCATGGAATTTATTTATAAATTTAATTGAAATAAATTCAAAATATTTTTTTAATAATTTATTTTGATAAATTATTTATACGAAAAAAATGATATAGTTAAATATAATTAAAAAATGCTTTAGATAATACATATAATTTTAAAATAATTATTAAAAATAAATAATTTCTTTGCATCACAATTTATAACGAAATGAAAGTAGTGTAAAAGATAATTCACATTTTCAATATATTCGAATTAATCTTTATTTATTTCATAAATTTAAGTTTAATTGACATACATTAGCAATAAATTTTAACAAACCCCACTTTTTATTCCGTATTTTTTTTAATATAAAAGTAGAATATATATATATATATATATTATTTCTAATAAATTTTAATTAAGAACGTATAATCTTAATTAATCACTTTAAATGTATATCAATTAATAAGGAAAAAACAAAATGAATGAAGAAAATTCCTAAATTGATTAATTAAAATTCACACAATCAATTCACTCTCTATTAATAATAATTATTTAAATGTCTCTGTTATGCATTATATATTCAAAATCAAAACTTTCCCATCTAAAATTACTCGATTGTGTTTTACACAAACATTAACGTGACACCTTGAATACAGATGCATTAGAAAAAAAAATGTTATGATTAGAATTTGAATTAAAAATGGGTGATTAAGTTGATGAATTGTGTATGAATAGATTTACATGTTTGAAGTTTGAAGTTTGAAGAGAAAAAATAGTTGTTTTGTTTTTGTTTTTCCCTCCCTTCTGACAAACTCCACATGGTCATTGAGAGAGCCCCAAGTCACAGACCCACCCACGTTATTCTGTCTGCATACAAGTGCTGCGAAATGACCACACCAGATCTGCTTCATCTCTCACTCTTGCATTCACACACCTCCCTCTCTTTTTCTCTCTCAACTTTCTATAGTTTCTTTTCTTGCAATAAAAATCAAGTTTTTATTATATTTTTAACACCCTTATGTGTCTCATGCACTCGGACTTTGACACCTCAAATTCCACTCTCTCTTACGTAATGTAAATAAAAAACAAAAGGGTGTCACTGCGAGTTGTTTATTCTTGGGGCAAAATTTTCAACACTTGCCTTCTTCATATATACACACCACAACTCCTCTCTCACACACTCTTTAGCCTCTGTCTACAGCTGCATCCTCTGCAAGAGAAAGGAAAACTAAAGATAAAAATATTCCTCTCCTCAGTTAAAGAAACAAAAACATCTCTTCTAGGGTCTCTCAAAAATTTTCCTCTTCTTTGTGCATCACTTTGGAATTGCTTGCTTTCCACTTCTTTTTTGTTCCTTCTATTCTGCTTTTGCAGCAGATATATTCTCTTCTCTGCTGTGTCAAACCCCAACATCACCCAGTTTCTGCAATTTTCTGCTTTCTCTCTATTTGCTCCGTTCAAGGTCTTGGACATTCTCGTCCCTTCACATGCACACGCACAAACACATGTAATGTGTTTTAACACAAATAAGCATGACCAAGTCTTCTCCTAGTTTAATGCAAGTCCTAGTCAATGCATTGATGTTATCAATTTATCATCTTTTTCACAAACTTGTCTGATCCAGAAGGCCAATTCCTCTGGTTGTGAATCACCTTAACACATTCCCAATTCTTTCTACCCAAAACAGAAGGTCTTTTCTTTAATTTTTTCTTTGCGAGAGGAGAATGGTAGTTTCTTAGGCTTTGTGAACTCTGAAAAGTTGAAGGGTGCCAAAAAATATGTCTAAAAAGGTTTTGATATCAATGAAGGATGAAAATCCAGATTTGCAGAAGCAAATTGGGTGCATCAGTGGGTTTTTTCAGCTCTTTGACCGCCACAGGGTCCTCACAGGCCACCGCAGTAACAGCCACAATCAGAATATCCCAATTAAAGGTAATAATCTGCAATATATCGTTATTTGTTGATGATGCTTTTGATAATATTAATGTTAACTTGATACAATTATTTTAATATATGTGATATTCATAGACTTTGTAATAAAAAAGGACTAAATGACAAATTTTGGTTGACATTAATAAAAACGACTTATTGACAAATTTTGATTGTTATGTGTAATGAGAAAAATCGCTTTCCTTCAACATTAATTGGACTGGCCCTATCAACTTGCAATTTGTCAGTGATGTAATGTCACAGTTTTTTTTTATTAGTTATTTTTTATTGATTTTTCTTTTATTTTACTTTAAACTTTGATAGGGTGAGAAGGGTGATGATAACTGACTAACTGGTAATTGGTAAAAGTTCTTACAAGACAAAACAAACCTTTTTTTTTTCTTTAACTTGTTCCAATTACATCATGGATGTGTACTGCAAATTAAATAATTGTTTCAAGATAATGTAGAAACCATTTCCATTGTATATGAAACCCTTCTTCAGATGTTTAAATATTAAATGCTTTAGAATGTCAGTTTCATTCTTTAGCAGTGCCACAAATGCAGATATGTTTTTTTAAAATTGTACCTTACCATCCCCCGTAATTATTTCATTTTCCTCATTTAATATACGAGAAGTGTTTAGTTGAAATAATAATGGAGAAATAACTATTTCCTTTTAATGTGTCTGAAGAAGCTGGTAAATCAAATAATTTAATCAAATACAAACAAATACAGACTGCATACATTCCCAGGTAGCAGATGGTTCTGCAAAAATGTTTTTATCATCATTACTATGCAAAATATTTGCAGCTAAAAAACATTGCAGTAAATAAGTAGATTTCTGATTCAAATTCTTCCATTAATAAAAATTCAGATTCCATACACAATAAATATTCTTATATGGCAAGTCATGATTGCCCATTGTTTTCATCTCAAATTCATGATAAATATAGATAAATTATTGCATAAACATGATACCTTGATTGTTTTTGGTACTGAGCATGGTGGTTGATACATTTAAATTAGGTCTACTGGGATTATAATTATTATTACATAGTTAAATATATTATTTGTTATTAAATTGTGGGCTAATTTTTCGAGTTATTACAATTACTTTCTTCAAAGACTTAACGTGTGAAAATGCCAAATGTATTTCTCAGAAAGAATTTTGGAATGAGACTAGTTTTGATTGAAGTTTTCACAAGATATTTCCAATTGCTTCTAAAATTCCTTTAATTTCTCAGGTGGTACAAGGAACCATGTCAAAGAGGTGAATAATACAACTCAAAAGGCAACGGTAAGAAAAGTGAATAAAAGTTTATTTAAATCATTAGAGAAACTTAGTAGAAACAGTTAAGAATGCGAGTATGCTTGCAGGGAAATAATGTGAAGGTTGCAGGAGAGAATCAACAATTCTCAACAGAATCATCTGGAACTTCAATGTCTTCATCATCTCGTTCATCTAGCATGTCATCCCTCGAGTTCAGTAGAACAATTCAGATAGATCCACCACCATTCAGTCCAATGAAAATTCCAGAAAACTCTAATTCAGAAGTATCAATGAAGCAACATGGCAACCAAGGCCCTCAATCCCTTGATTTCTATGATATTGTCAAAGAGTCAATGCATAGAGATGTTCAAGGATTGTCAGTAAAAATTGCAGCTAAAGAGGATAAGAAGGGTAGAATCTTGAAATACATTGACTCTCCCAGGCCATTGGAGCCCCCAAAACCTGTCAATATGGTTGCTTGGGATTCCCCGAGACTCTCTTATGATGGGAGGGACGCACAAGATACATTAAAATCTGCTATAAAGCCCAAGGAACTCCCCAGGCTTTCCTTGGATAGCAGAGAAGGATCCATCAAAAGCTTCAATGAAGGAACAAAATGTCGTGGCCTTTTGAAGGGTCCACAGAAAGGGTGTGGTAGCTCTGGCACAATGCTTAAGCAGCTGCAGGAACCAGAAACTTCTAGAAGATCATCTGGTGTTGTAGTAAGGTTGATGGGACTAGAAGCCTTCCCAGACAGCGCTGAAACTTATGATCCTCCGCCCCGGATTTCTACCAACAATGATGAATACAAGCAACACCAAAGTGCAGCATCCCTGAGAACAATGGAGGGGTCTACCTTGTTTCAGTTTAGGAGGGATGCTTCAATCATGAATGTGACACCGTATTCACGGTTTTCCCTAGAACCAACTCCATGGAGGCAACCTGAAGCAAGCCAAGGTTCTCCATTGCAGACTCCCAAGAGAAGTGAATCTTCAGCAAAAGCATCAAACCTATCCCTCTCTGTATATGGGGAAATTGAAAAGAGGATAGCAGATCTAGAGTTCAAAAATTCTGGAAAGGATCTTAGAGCCCTTAAACAGATTCTTGATGCAATGCAGAGATACAAAGAATCATTAGATACTACAAGGGATCAGGCTTCAAATTCTCTATCTGACAATAGAAGTAATAGCAGTCTTAGTGAAAGCTCGATAGTTAAAAGCCCAAGAATACGGCAGAAGGACCCAACATCCTCCACTATTGAGATGTCAAATTCAACCCAGGGTAGTAAGTCACCAATTTTCATCATGAAACCAGCAAAAGCTACAAGAAAAAACATCAGTCCTGCTTCCACAGAAATGACATGTCAGGGTAAATCCAGCCCCAGCAAGTTTGGTCCTGCTAACCCTGCAAATGGAATAATGGGTGACAAGCTTGACAGGAAAACAGGAAAGGGTATCAGTCCCGCAATCAGACCTGCCAAGGATTCCATTGGTCAATCCTTTCCCCCAGTGGATAAGAGTAACAATAAGATGAGAACATCAAAATTGATGGAATCCCAAAAAGGCCCTCAAGCAATCGACGGAGAAAATGCCACCAACTCCAGCAATACAGCACAGGCCAAGAGCCCAAGATTACAAAAGAAGTTTGGTTTGGAGAGGCGCTCACCAACAACTAGCCTATCATCAGATTCAAGCAGTAACAGAAGACACCACAATAGGCAATCGGTGGAATTGTCTTCGCAAAGTACTACACCCAGACAAAAATCCAGTGAGATAAAAAACCAAAGGGGGGGCTTTAAGCATGAAGTTGACGTAGAAGTCATGCACATTGATCATTCTGATAGGATCAAAAGCAACTCCATCCAGTTAAAGGGAATGAATCAAAATGTTAGTATATCTTCCTCCCTTCTTTGAATTCTTGCAACTAAATCACCTGGTTTAATATTTTTTTCCCCATTGATCAGAATGCAGCAAAAGAGTTTAGCAAGGAAAGCTTTATGGCTGAGAAAATAGTTATAGCAGAACAACCAAGCCCTGTGTCTGTTCTTGATCCTGCTTTCTACAGTGAAGAACCACCTTCTCCAGTTAAAAAGAAATCAGACATCTCGAAAGATTTAGGTACCTTACACACTTCATTTCTATGTAACACAGATTGAGTGTTGTTGAATCAGTCTACAATCATCTGTAAAATGAATAATTGGAAAAATACACTTTCTAGTGCCATTATTAAAAAGCAAAAATCCAAGAAAGGAGGTTTTTTACATATTAATATCTTATTGACTTCCTTCAAATTTATTGCTACAGATGATGCTCTCAACACTTACGACATTACTGAGGAGAACTCAGAAGATCTACCTCTTTCATCTAACACTGCAAAAGCCAACTTCAGCAGTGGGTTCAGTGATACTGACTTGAGAACTCAAAATTTAGTTCAAATTCTCCATCAAATTGACTCCAATGATGAGAGATTTACCAATTTCAGAGATTATAAAGATCCTCCCCATAAGTATATATTAGAAATACTGTTAGCATCAGGCCTGCTCAGCAGTCCAAGCTCTTGCTACGTTTTTCATTCATCAAGTCACCCGATAAACCCGAAGTTGTTCATAGCACTAGAGCAAATCAAGACAAACAAAAAGTGTTTCAATATTGAATACAATGGCAAGAAAATTGCTGGGCTCAACAGTCCTGAACAATTGCAAAGAAAGCTAATATTTGATGTCGTTAATGACATTCTATCTCAGAAAATAATATTGGAAAGTTCTACCCAGTGGTGCCAGTCAAATCAGCCAGTTAGTAGAAAACTGAGAGGACAGCTGCTTTTGGATGAGCTTTGCACAGAAATTGACAAGTTACAACATAAAAATAGGAATGTACACCTGGTTAATGTGGATGAGAATATGACAAGTATCCTGTGGGAAGAGTTGATGCACTGTCCGACAATTTACGCAGACAATTACATGGAAATCCCAAATGTGGTGTTGGATATTGAACGGTTGATCTTCAAGGATTTGATAACTGAAGTTGTGAGAAGTGAACTAGCTAGCCATTCTGGTAAGCATTGCAGACAACTGCTGTTTTCCAAGTAGGACTTCTGGCTAATCAGTTTAAAAAATAATTTTTAAACTTCATCTGTAAACTTTCTTTTCTACTATACTTATACTTTGAGGAGGGGGAAATAAGCTAATTAATAGAAATTTTAGATTTTATTTTCTATCTAAACTCATGAGCATTAATGTCTACAATCATCTTTTTTGCATGGATTTATAGTGTATGTTGAAAAAACACATGTAGAAATGCCGATAAATGTATATATTAATGACATGATCTTTTCAACTTCAATTGCAGTTGTCTTCAATTCATCAGAGTAAGATCCCTTTTATATATATCTACAGTCATTTTCAAAGATTTGTATGCTATTTTAAGATATAGTTAATATTCATAAAATAAACCAGCTCATGTTAGCTGCTTTTTTTAGCAAATTTTCATTTGTTTGTTTTCTGTTAGGCTCAGCTCCTCCAGGGGTGCTACTGACTTAACTTTTTTATTCTATGCTTCCTTCTATTCAAAATTTCTGGTAATTTTCCTCAATAATAATAATGGATTATCTGTTGTCTGCCATCTCAAGAATAATAATACACATGAAGTCAAAAACAACATGAAAAAAATAAAATATAAGTTCAGCACATACATATTCTCTACATAACTAGGTTACATAGCAAGGAGCTGGCTCCCTCCCTATGGACATTTTACATTGTTGTGCATGGATCGAAACTCAACTGAACCTGAGTATTATTCTTTTCACATTTGAAATCCAATCCTATGAAATAGCTCACAGTCATATAACTAATTCAAACTATTGACTAGGAAACTGTATGGATTGCAAGTGGTGCTAAAATTGTATCACTTCTGATTTTCGGCACTTCAAAAATAAACTTTTAGGTTTTAGCCATGAAAACAGAGATTTGTAGCAATAACAATTAATGATGAGAAAAATAGATTCAATTTTCATACCATTGCGTTTCCTGTGAAGATACATGCATCCACTCTACGTTTCTTTTGACGAATAATCAGAAGTTACATTTACTACATTGTACATTTTACTACATTTACTACAAGTATGCCCCCTAGATCTGATATTAAACATCTCATACATCAAAAGGCCTGTAAATTCTTTAGCATTCTCCCCCCCCCAGTCTACATTTAGCTTCACAGGACAAACTTCAAGGGTATTTTCCAGGGTGGGCTTTTGGACAAAACGGATATGAGAGAATTTTTTTTTATTTCTAAATTAAGAGTTATATAGTCTTTGTATTAATATATTATTTTATTTCTTTTATTCTAAAAAATATTATATTATAGAATACTTATTAGAAACCGAAATTTTACCCTCCCTTTCCTTTCTCACCAAAAACTCACTCCCAAACTGTTGGGTATTTTTGAGAAAGACTAATAAAAGAAAAATTCTCAACAATGGAATATGACTCAATTATATAAGAGAACATGACATCACCTTCAACCCAAAACCTTAAAACATCAGGTTATGAGTCTTTCTCACTTATAAATTATCCAATGTGAGACTTCAAACTCACACTTGAATTCTCAACAATCTCCCCCCTCAAGTGTGATTCCTTCTTTAAATCTTTCCTTTCTCTTCTTTTGTCTTTTTTTTAGCTATTTAGTATTTTTCTTATGCATGTCCACGGACGTGGAAGTGGAAGGGAGAACATATTAGATGAGCATATATCTCACAATCAAGTAGTATAAATTGTAAAAAATAATAATAGATGCAAATATCTAGATGTTGAATTTCTGGTTACTGGCTTGCCATTTTACAAAGAGCAAATTTGTTCTGATGCTAAAATTTGCAATTATGCTGAACCTTTGATCCCTTAGACACTTGTTCATCGGATAAATAAAGAGCAGTAATTGAACCAAAGACATTAGGAAAGCAAGTGTCTGTGGTGTGCCATTCAGTGATCAAAGAACACATTGCAAAGGCATACGACAGGGGAACGGAGCGTAAATAGGTGTATCAGATTAGCATTTTATAATAATACATCTTATATCATATCATAAGATTAATCATATTTCTATCTTTTGTACTTTTTCCTTGATATATCAACAACAATCATATGACATATTCAACATACCATCAGAAATATCGCAAACAAACTTCATTAAAAAGAATCATGAATTAATTTACCAGTGAAATGATGTAAGCACATACCTTAAAGATTGTTAAAATGGCAACATGCCTCTACAAAATAGTAATATCCATCCTATAACTGCCATAAGCAAACAACGACCTAGGTTTCACTACTACAGAACTATCTATCTTGACAGTAACTAGAACAAGTACAAATATTATGTTTATGTTTCTCAAACAAAAAATTGTCAAAATGGAAGCATATACTTGTAGCTTCCACGTTTTGTATGACAATTTAGCATGATTTGAGGACTAGACGCACATGATTGGAGTCGATCCAAACACACTATATTAAAAACAATCTAACACACAATTGAACAAGCTCATCTGGATTTTCCCAAGATTCCTTCAAAAGTTTTCTGGCCTTCCTTTTCCCATCATCTTTTCTCACTTTCAATCACAAACAAGTGTGTATTTTCACTGAAATAACCTCTGTCGCTCTTGAAATAAGTGTGTATTTTCACTGTTTCAGTTGCTGGAGCAAATGCCTTTGTCTTCAATATGATTTTCCACAACAGATTTTTCTGCACCTGCATCAATGGATAGCTTAGCTGGAGAGAAGAGAATATAGAAACCACTTCTTCATCCTGAATCTGAAAAAAAAAGGTGTTACTTTCCACTGCAAATATAATGTTTTCACAATATCCTAGTTTCTAAAGCATAAATAATTCTTCAAACAATTCCCATCATCCAGTAAAATCCATTACGGGAAAATCCGAAACAAACAAGCCCAAAACCGTAGCACGTGTAAATTTAAATGTAAAACAAAAGTGAGGAAAAAAAAAACTATTTTGGGGGTGGAGTTAAAATCGGGAAAGATTCAAAATTGAGAAAGGAAAGGGGCAGAATGACAATAAAAAGTTTACCCGCGGATTGCTAGTCCTAAACGAAGGTGATGCATGAAAGGAATCGAGGTTACAGAGTGTATATACGGCACAGTAATTGCTTATCTGAAAATTCATTTAGAGAATAAATAGTAAAGTTTTAGGATAAGGGTGTTGAACACAAAAGGTAAAATGTGTTATTAGTTTTCAAAAGCATACGTACATAGCCAAAACAGTTTTTCTGAAACTGCAGACTTTAGGAGCAGTTTCATAACTATTAGGATTTCTAATATATAGCTCCTTCAACCCCTTTTATTCAATGAATACCGGATAGTTTATTTAACTACTTAGAAATTAACAAATAGTCATTAAATGTAGAATAATTCAACTAACAATCTCTCCCTTAAACTAAAACTGTAAGCTTTTAGTTTATTTCTGATGCTGCAATCATGCCTAGCTTGCTTCTGAGTTTCAAGAATTGCTCTGATTTGAGTGGCTTAGTCATTATATCTGCTATCTGATTCGAAGTGCTGTAGTAACTTAGCTTGATTCTCCCTTCTTTGACAAGATCCCTTAGGAAATGAAATCTAACATCGATATGTTTGCTTCTGCCATGAAAAACTGGATTTTCAGACAATTTAATGGCTGAATTGTTATCACACAGAATTAGAATGTGTTTTTGCTTTTCAAAACCAAGGGTTTCTAGAATTCTCATAATCCAGATGCATTGACATGCACAGGAAGCTGCAACTATGTATTCTGATTCTGTAGTAGACAGTGTCACTATAGGTTGTTTTTTAGATGACCAAGAGACTGCACCTGTTCCTAGGAAGAAAACAAATCCTGATGTACTCTTCCTATCATCTACATCACCTGCGTAATCGCTGTCAGTATAAGTCATTAGTGTTATACTTTCTCCTTTCTTGTAGAGTATGCCAAGATCCATGGTTCCTTTTAAATATCGTATAACACGTTTGATAGCACTCCAGTGTGTTTCTGAAGGTTTTTCCATGAATCTACTAGTAAGACTGACCACATACATCAGATCAGGCCTGGTTGCAGTTAGATACATCAGACTACCAACTGCTTGCTTATAGACCGTGGCATCTGCTTTACGTCCTGTGTCGGTTCTGGAAAGTTTCATTCCTTGAACAATAGGATTCTGTACGACATTGCATTCTAGCATATTGAATCTCGCTAAGACTTCCCGAGCATATTTGCGTTGACACATAAAGATGCCAAGCGTATTCCGCAAAATTTCAATTCCCGTGAAAATACCTCATCTTCCCCAAGCTCGGTCATATCAAAAACCGACATCATAGAATCCTTGAACTCACCGCACATGTCTTTATCATTTCCAAGTGTAAATCAAATCATCCACATAAAGGCTTACAATAAGAATTTTACCTCCCTTGCTGACTTGGTGAACAAGGTGTGTTCACAATAACATCGTTCAAAGCCATTTTGTAGGAAATATGCTTCAATTTTGTTGTACCATGCTCTAGGTGCTTGCTTGAGTCCATAGAGTGCCTTCTTTAACTTATACACCTTTTCTTCCTGCCCTTTTTCTATAAATCCGGCTAGTTGTTGGACATAGATTTCTTCCTTCAATTCTCCATGGAGGAATGCACTTTTGACATCAAGTTGATATATAACCCATTCATGTTGTGCTGCCATAGATAGGATTATGCGAATGGTATCTAGTTTGGCAACTGGTGCAAATACCTCTGTGTAATCCACTCCATAGTGTTGAGCATAGCCTTTTGCAACTAGCCTTGCTTCAAACTTATCAATTTCACCGTTCTCCTTGAGTTTGGTCTTGTAAATCCACTTGAATCCAATCGGTTTTACTTCTTTTGGAGCATAGGTTAACTCCCAAGTTTGATTTTTCTCTATAGCTTCCATCTCTTTCACCATAGCTTCTCGCCATTTCTTGCTCTTGACTGCTTCTTCAAAGGTTATTGGATCAGCATCAGCTACTAACATAGCATTAGTGCTGTTGTCATCATGTGTACCTTCTCCGTCTTTATAATCAACTATCCATACTGATTTTCTTCTAATTCTTCTTGCCCTCCCTTCTGCTGGAACCTCTTCTGCTGGAGCTTCTTCTGTTTCAGTTTCAGCTCTGTTTCCAGGTTGTAATGATGGTTGTTGCTCCTCATCTTCTGATTCAGATTGAGAATCTTCTTCTGTCTCGCTTTCAGCAATATCTTGATGATTTTCTGCTCCACTCTACTCCCATTTCTAGTCTTTGTTTTCTTCAAAAATAACATCCTTGCTCGATTACTATTTTCTTGCTAATAGGATCAAAGAGCCTATAGGCCTTGGATTCTTCATCGACTCCAAACAGAACACATGATCTCGCTCTTGCTATCCAGCCTTAACTCGTCGTCGATCAGGTGTGTGAACATGCGCTAAGTAGCCAAATACTTGAAAGTACTCAATTGATGGTTTTGTCCCACTCCATGCTTCCTCTGGGGTCATATCTTGGATAGTTGAAGTAGGACTTCGATTGAGAATGTGTGCACACCATTTCGTTGCTTCTGGCCAGAATATCTTTGGGACTTGTCTTCCTATCAATATAGTGCGCACCATGTTCATTATGGTTCTGCTCTTTCTTTCAGCAACTCCGTTCTGCTGGGGAGTATATGCAGTAGTTAATTGTCTTCTAATCCCATAATTTCTGCAAAACTCTTCAAATTCTTTTGAACAGAATTCTCCACCTCTATCTGTTCTTAAACAGATGATACTTTCCCCAGCTTCTCTTTCAACCAGTGCGTCGAAGTTTTTGAACATAGAGAACGTTTCTGATTTCTCACTTAAGAAATATATCCAATTTTTTCTTGATAAAGATAATTTTTTATCTTCAGATCCTTGAGTTGTTGTTCTTCCAGCCGTTTGAGTTCCGCATCTGTGGCTTTCTCTGAAACTGCAGCAATACCATTCTCCACCAAACTCCAATACTCCTTAGAACGTAGGAAATTTTCCATTAGCTTTGCCCAATGGTCATAGTGACTATCAAACCTTGGAATTGCAGGTTGAACATATTTACTTGATTCAACCATTGCAAATAGCGTTCGTAAGAGTTTTCCAAAGCTCACCAGTGTTTCTCTTCCCAATCCAACGCTGAACAGACGGAACTCACTATTGTGGCTCTCTTACTCACGATTTTTGGTTCAGGTCCCATGAAGGAGCTCTGATACCAGATGTTGAACACAAAAGGTAAAATGATTTTCTGCATACAATCTGTAGAATTGTGTTATTAGTTTTCAAAAGCATACATACATTAACTAGAATGTGGAAACAGTTTTCCTGCAACTGCCGAGACTTTAGGGGTAGTTTCCTAACTATTAGGATTTCTAATATTTAGTTCCCTCAACCCCTTTTATTCGATCAATACTGGACCGTTTATTTAAGTACTCAGAAATTAACAAATAGTCATTAAATGTAGAATAATTCAACTAACATAAGGTTAGGTGGAAATGTGTTCCTAAGAACGATCGACATTGTCTCCTATCAACGGCGGGTAGGTGCGGTAACACAATATTTCTGAAATTGACTTTGAACTTCCAAGTAATTTTATACACATAGCATATTTTAGGTACAATCTAGCTTTGCAAGAATTTTTAAATTTTATAATATTTAATAATATATGTAGTCTTCCAGATTTTTTAAATTAAGTAATTTTATTTTGAGCAATTATTAATAAATGTTTTTTAAATAAATAACTTTTCGACAATCACTTATTAAGAAATAGGTAGCATTTGTTTATTAAAATTAAAATAAGAATAACACCTCCAAATTTTTCCTAATTCTAAAATCAATACGCTTCTTCGTTGTGTTTTTAAAAATAATCATAATCACATTTCTTCTAATTATTAAATAAATAATAAATTATTTTATGTTTTTAATAAATATCAATCATTTTTAGTATATTTTTAATAAAATGACATATAACTTATTTTCTTAAAATTATCATATTTATTAAAATTTGTATAAAAAAATTATGAAAAATAAAAATTAATAAAATATAAATTTAATAAAAGAAGTTTTATAAGTATCATTTTATTAAAAATAATATATATATATATATATATATATATATATAGAGTAATAATTTTATTTTTCTTTTTTCTTTCTATTTAATTAGTAGATGAGGAATTTAAATTTTAGAATAATTAGATTCAATTGATATTTGACTAATATTTATTAAAATAAAATTATTTCAATTGTGATGATGACTTTATTGAATATATTCTCATTGGTAATATTAATGGATTTATGAATGGTGTGTAACTTTTATGGTTTAAATGTTTTAGGGATATATTTTTTTTGTAAATATCCTTTAATATATAATATTTTAATATTATTTATTACAGTATAATTGTTTACTTGTTATCTTAATTAATTTAATTATCGATAGTAAATTTATTTCATCAGATAATTTGAAAATTTTATTTGGGATAATTTTAGTCAAACATATTAAATTAATTTTTATTATCTAATCAAAGAAGTCCATTTAACTTAATCTCTTACTACTTGAATAATAAGTTTTTTATTTTGTACTTAGTATTTAATATGATCAAAATTACTAAATAATAATATATTACGATTATTTAATTTGTTTAATTATTGTAATAGTTTAAATATATTTTTAAAAATTTGATGATTCAATTATTTAATCATTAAATAATATAATTTAAAAAAATATCTAAGTAATATAGACATTTAACTAAATAAAATTTAAAAACTTTTGATTCAATTCTTCAAACCGATGAAGAAGTAGTTGGGTTAGATTGAATTAAAAAAAAATGCAAAAGTTTGATTGAACCCAACTTAAGGTTTTTATTAGATTAGATTATAGACTTAAACACATCTTAATAAACTCTAACATGTGTGTATCCCTTATTATCAATTAGGTTTAAAAAATTGATATGTTTCCTAAGAATGTCATGCTCATGAGATTTAAAAATTTTAAAAATATTATTTTTCTGACCTTTTTAATGCTAAAAGTTATAGAAAAAATAAACATAATAACCAAGTTTAAATACGTAAAATATTTTATTTTTTTGTATTTTAAATATAACATAGGAATGATGTAAAATGCAACATCCATAAAAAAAAATTATATTAATTGT